GGGCAAGGGGTGGGATAGGATTATTATGGGAGGTGAGAGCAGGCAGAGCCCACCCTGTGTTGCCTGCCCATGGGACACCAGTCGGCAAGGTGCCTTGAGGGGACAATAGTGGCATTGCCACCTGGCATCTTCTTGAGCTTAAGTCCCCCAAGCCAGTTTTTCCACCTCCTCGCTCTGTTGCCATAGGCAACTGCTCAGGTTACCTGGCTGTAAAGGCAGGTGTGGCTGCTACATGGCGTCATAAAAATAAACAAATGCATCCAAAGCAGCACTCAGCACCAACCACCTTGGCTGGAAGTGACTGCCCCTGGCAGGGGGCTGGCAGGAAGGTGGCAGCTCCCAGCCCCAGAGGCACCTCCTGAGTCAGTGTCCCATCAGCATCCACTGAGGATGAGACTGAGACACAAGAGGAGCCAAACCTCCCAACACCACTCATTTGTCCCGGCTCCTACAGAGCGTGGCCGTGGCTCCACACTGGCTGCCAGCCCTCCTTCCCTGCAGACTTCAGCAATCACCAAGAACTGAGCTGGGTCTCTCAGGATCCAGTGCTAATTCTCCTTCTCCCCAGCAGCAGTGAGGGATGAATCAGGGAGGTCACTGAGCTGGGGTGGCCCATGCCCACCCCGCTGACACACACGCAGCCACAGCAGCACAGAGCTGGATGAAGAACAGCCAGCTCCAACTCTGCTTAGTAAAGAGCTAGGGAAGGCAAAAGTGGTGACAATCAGTGAACAATAGATGGCAAGTAATATTATTTATTATCTCTACATCTTCAGTAGCCACGGGGCACTTCTTGCACCACGAACAGGGCTCTGATGGTTCAACTGACATTTGCTGCTCCCTTGTGTTAACCCCTTTTCTACATTTTGCTGACACTGCCAAAGGCCATGGTAAAGAAGAAATATGGCCAGGCTGCAAGAACCGAAGTCCCTTGGTTGTTCTCCTGGTTTTAGTTGGTTTTGGGGGACATGCAATGTGAAGAAGTGTTGGAGCAGGGCTGAATGTGGTCCTCAGGGTTCGGACATGGGGCACAGGCTTTGGGGCGGCAAGGATGTCAGCATGTTCACTCCTCACCACCCTGGAAGGGCAGAATGAGATGTACAGGGACAAACTGAGAGTGGTTTTCTGAAGTAAAGTGAGGCCTGAGTAAAGAGGGCTATAGGAGAGCTGGGAGGAGACAGTGGAACTCCCTCTTGCTGAGACCATCATGCACAGGAGCCAGGACAACTTCCCAGAACTGCTAAATCTGTTTTCCTTCAGACAGATAAAAGACCCATGAAGGAATATCATCCTGGAAGATGCCACCACTGCTCCTAAATGAGAAGAGCCAGGTCGGGAAGCAGGCAAGGGCCAGGCCCACAGTGCCCTGCCTGCAGCACTGCCATTCTCAGGGAAAGCCTTTATCCCAGGAACAATGCCCTTTTTGCAGCTCATCCTCGATTCCCCCTGAGGGAAGAATAGGAGAAAGCTCTTTTATTTCTTTTTAACATCTCTGCTTTGTTATTCTTTTCACAGGCTTCCCAGATTTGATGGCTGCAATAGTCCTCTTGTTCTCATCTGCAAAGGGCTCTCCTGCTTTCCCCAATTGTCTCCAATTCTGATCTTTGGGTTCACCTTGGGGATTCATTTCCCTTCTTCAACCTAAAATACGCACTGTTCCAAGAATAAAACTGTGTTTTGATCCAAACCATCATTCAAATTCACTGTGCTCCATCAAACCATTTGGATGGACCACCTTTTATCTCCCTTAGTAAACCATCTCTTTGCCTAAAATCCCAACGCTGACCCCACCAGGCGTTGTTGTGAAGACACTCTCCACCTGTACAGATCTCACCCCAAACCCTCAGAATAGTTCTGGAAATTAAACTTATTGTTTCTTTGGGGATTGAGCTCTCAGGAGATGCAGTCATGGTGTTGGACGTGGCAGCAGACCCTTCCTTCTCCTCCCACCCTGTTTTCCAGCAGTCAACCCCAGTGATCCTCAGGTCCAGAGGAGGATGTGGCAGAGCCCTCCGGGATGGGGGCTTGGTGTGGACCATGTTGGTATCAAGGGGCACAGCCACTCCCTAGGCTCCCAAAACACAGCCTGGGTGAGGTGGTAGCTCTACCCAAATTTCTTTTGCTGTCATCAGACACCCCTTCCTCTGTCTGACATCAAACACAGTGGTCTGCCTGCTTCCCCAAGTATAGAGACGAGCATTGGTTCCATTAACTAGCAAACCCCAGCATTTATCACTCCAGCCTCACTTCAAATGAACTTCTCTTTTGATTTTTTGGGGTCTTTTTCAGCCCACAAAACCAACTGATCCACATCACTCAACAAATAGCACTGGTGTTGTCACCCAATGCCCCAGTCATGTCCCCAGCTCCTCCTCACCCAGCACGGATGTCCTCACTGCCATCCTCATTCCCTCCCTCCCAGCTAATGATGCTGTTAATGAACTTTTTTTCGGGGGGAGAGGAAAGGAGCTGGAGAGAGGAAGCTTTGCAGGCAGAAGGGAAGAGACATTCCTGCCTCAGTCATCAGGCAACTTTCCCCTTCCTCTTGCTCACTCCCTCGCTGACCTTTGGCTGAGTCTGCCAGAGCTATAAAGGAAAAGGGAAAAAGGAAAAAAAAAAAAAAAGAGAAACTAAAAAGCAAGAGGAGCTGAAAGGACAGGCAGAGGGAGTGATGTTATCTTGCCTCTGCTAATGATTTCTGGTCAAAGGATGGGTGGATGAAGGCAGAGGGAGCTGTGCAGGATTGTGGGCAGCACAGAAGGGGTTTGCTGGGGGATGCCCAAGGGGGAAGGAGTCAGGGATGAGGGGCTGAGACTGTACATGGGGACATACATGCTGATCAGCAGAAGGAGAAAATACCCATGGTGCGTGCTACTGCACCTTGTGAATCTGTCTCAAGGCATGTGGAGGTCCAAATCTTACAGGCCACGGTGACACCCCCTCCTCCCTTGGCACAAAGGCCATGTGGTTCATGGAGCTCACCAAGAGATGAGCACTCTGCACAATTAGGGACTTTCCACACCCTCATGGAGCACCCAGCAGGGCCAGCCTGTGCAGATGCCCCTGTCCTCTCCTGGGTGTAGCTGGAAGAGCCCACCACCTCCTTGGTTGTGTCTACAGCCTGGCTTTGGTTCTGGCAACCATCTTGGAGCCTGGCACCTATCACTGCTGATAAATAGGTGATCCTGTTCCCCTGGGCTGGCCCTGTGCACCAGGATTAGCTGACAGCATCGAAAAACAGTGACAAGAGCCATGGAAGAGGAATAGCATGAGTCAAGGTCAGAGCACTGCAGAGTGAGCAGTCACAGATCAACCATTTTGGGGCAGGAGTGCTGGGAGAGTCAGGCTCACCCATGTCAGCTAAGCTAAGAGTCTTAGAATCACAGAACGTCTTGGGTTGGAAAGGACCTTAAAGATCTTATTATTAAAGGTCATCGAGGAAAGTCATCTTCTCTGACAAAACAACACCACAGGGACAGACCTGTCCTGCTAAGGAACAGAGATGTATTTTTAAGTGCAAATTTATGCATGACATCTTGATATAATTAGTAAAGTCTTATTATGGAGCTGCCCTGTAGCAAAAAATATCCCTGATACATGAAATTCATATCCCTCTGCTCACCTCTAGATCACCACCATGTCCCCACATGCCAGAAAGGTGACAAAAGGGACTGTGATGGCATGGCAAGGGCAGACAGGAGCGGGCAGGGAAAAATCCTGGCAGAATCAGGGCTGAGTTGTGTCACCAGTATGATGGGAAGCAGAGGGAAACGGGGACTTTGCTAGACGTCAAGATCTTCCCTGTAAGGTGACACATACCTCTGTGGGCAGAGATTTTGGGGAAGTTTGGCTATTCTTAGTGTTCCTGTCCCACCTCCTCCTCTGGATATGTGTGCCTCATCACGATGCCTGTGCTCCTCCTCACAGCTACAGTCACCATCTGTGAACCCTACCCACAATATTACCAACAAGACAAAACGTTTATGGTGTGTTTGCATTCAGAGAAAACTTCCCATCCACGTAAAAAAGTCATCACCAGCACTTTCTTTATCCCCCCCTTGCCCGAGGTCTAGCGGAGAACTTATTTTACAGCGAGTTATTTATGGCCTGACAGAAGCACCACTGACAATTTGAGATTCACAGCTCCAACCCTGGGGAACGAGACGGGTTTTTCTGAGAAAGCCTTCCACAGGCAGCAGCGGGAGGCAAAACCATCTTTAAAGCAGGATGGGGGGAAGCCCTCTCCTCCTCTACTGAACATTAACACTTAAGTTGTCTCTTCTGAACATACTCACTGAGGTTTCTGCCACCACCCTGAGCCATGGGGAAGCTCAGGGTCTGACTTGAGTTCATCAGGAGCTCAGGGTCTGAAATGCCCTCAACGCTGCTGACAGGGCTGGGTTTCTTCTTTGCTAGGTGGGGAGTAAGGGCATAAGGGACTTAATGTCTCTCCCTCTTTCCTCCCCTCAGTCTGCCTCATCCATTCAGGTGGCTTCACCTGCCTTAAGAAGCTTTTTAAGCCACTTAGGTGGGGAGGTGGGGATTTTCACACTTCGGGATTTGCAAACTCAAACACTGGGTTTGCCATCCCAACTGTTGGTCTTTGCAAACCCTCGGACAAAAGGAGCACGTGCTTTAATTACTGTGGTTTAATGATCAGAAACACAACATGCAGGAAGAGCCAAGCATCCCTGCAGATGTAGGTACCTTTGAGGTGAGAAGCGATGATGCTGGCAAGGCAAATCTCTAGGAATCATAAAGCAAACACGAGATCCTAGAATGGCTTGGGTTGAAAGTGATTTTAAGGATGATCTTGATCCAACCCCCTGCCATGGGCAGGGACTCCTCCCACCAGACCAGGTTGCTCAGTCCAACCTGGCCTTGAACACTTCCAGGGATGGGGCAGCCGCAACCTTTCCACTGTCATCTACGAACCGTGGGCATCTCCAAACTGCAACGTGACAGCTTGGTGGAGAAGGACAAACTCTGAAGGCATTTACCTCCCTGAGGCAGGTATAGATGGGGCAGACCAGGACTCGAAAGGGCTCTCCAGTGCTGCTCCTCATGGTCCCGAAGACTTCGCAGAGGAAGGTGATGAAGCCCAGCCAGCGCTCCACGTCCCGCTGCTGCAGCTCCTCCCGCATGGTGAAATCCTTCTGCAAGAGGGACAGAGACAGGAGGCTGCATCAGCAAAACCGCATCGCCACGGAGAGGCAACGGCTGTCTAAAGAGAGAATTAGGAGGAAATTGAAACTCAGGGTGGGGGGAGGAAGACAGACAGACTGACTCTTTGGTAACAGTGGGGAGATTACTCAATGCACGTGGAGTGGCTGGGGTTTCAAAACAGCAAAGCCTCCAGAAGGCAGGTACTGTAGAAATACCACCAGCTCCTGCAATAGCTGCCATGGCTTGCACTAGAGACGGTGTCCCCTGTGCCCTGCTGTCCCTCTAGGACAGACACAGGGACTTTTTTCCATATGCACAACCAAGACCTTAAATAAAATGCAGGGGAAAAGCTGGTGGCCATGCTGGGCTTGGTGATCCAGGTGGACCTACCCAGCCCATTCATTCCAATATCTTCAGCAGACTCAGTGTCTGGCCAGGAACATCCTAATGGTCTGGCTGCTTGCTGGTGTCTCACAAAATAATGGTAGAGACTGGCTCCCTGCCCAACCAGAAGATCAGGGCAGCCTGGGCTTGGCATTAAAAGGTCACCCTGCTCCTGAGCTGATGGTTGCTATGACTAAGGATTATCCCAGTGACGTGATTTATGGATCAACATCAGGAGGAAGCATGCAGGGAGATAGATGCCTACCCATCAGTCCTCCAGCTGGGGAGAAAACAGGGGTTTGTCCAAAGGCAGGATGTGAAAAGGGACGTTTGTGTTGGTAGTGTGTGGCAAAGAGCACGGGACAACACAGAAAAGCAAATAAAAACCTTGTGCCATTCTTGAGGATGGCACAAGGGAGTGCATCGCGCTCAGAGTCAAGAAGGTTTCCCTGGGCTCTAAGTGATGTTGCAGAGCTTCTTGAATGACATCCCACGTGACTTTGCTTGTCTGTCTCCATAGTGACCTTTCCCTGGTACTAAAAATTAGTAGACACTAAGCAGGGGAATATTAAAGCGGAGGACAACTTTGTTCTCCACACCGTGTGTTCCCAGGGTGGGTTTCACAACATTTGAAATCCAGCAACTAAATAAATCATCCTCTATCTTTTTCATCTGAGTTTGTTCCTCCTGCCTGAGACAGAGGGCCTTGCTGCTGCTCTCTGCAAAGCCAGGGGAGACATAAAAGCCACCACACCAAAGTTCACCCTCGTGCCCTGGACAAGACACAGGAGATCTTTCATTTAGAACAAAGGTAAGTGAAGCAGCTACTAAAGAAAGCCAGGCAAAAGCACAATGATTATTTTCATGACACAACTTCACGAACAGAAAATCCAAGGCAGGAGCTATTTATATGTTTCATTACAAAAGGAAAAATAAAATATGTATTTGCATATGCAGGAAAAAGACTTGTAAAATAACGAAGGCACTTATTAACCAAACAGTGATGACTAATTCCTCTCTACACCCATTTCCATAAGTGAGTTGCCCAACTGTGTCTGCGACTCCAGCGTCAACCTGCAGCCAAATCCTGTTGGGTCTTCCCAGACTCTCTGGGGGAGTTTGCAGAGTTCATCCTTTCATTATCCAGCCAGTCCCTGGGCAGTGATGGAGGAGTTATTTGCCAGCTCAAGTTATCATCCCAGAGCTACCAAATTACTCATTTTGGAGTTTTCACTTGAATTTTAATGCAAAAAAGAAGTCAAAGAGAAATGATGCCCTGAATTACTGAGAAATTAAAAAACCAAGCGAGAGCATTCCATGCCCCTCATCTGCCTTGTCCACCAATAAAGTGGAGGAAAAAAGCTCCCTTTGAACCCTGGAGCATTTCCTTGATACTCTGAGACCTCTCTATCCCCTGGCACTGTTTCCTGCATCTCATGCAGCATTCCACCCAGCTCCAGCCCCCAACCCATCCTGCCCCCAACACTCCCTGTCCTGCCTGGGAAAGTCCACACGGATGTACCTGGAGAGCTGCACTGTATTTTGGGATCCTTGGGGCATGCTGGGAAATTCCTAGCAGCTTGGGATAACTGCATGGGCTCTGTGGTCCCGGATTACTGGGAAAGAATAAAAACCACGGCAGGAAACTCTCCCCCTTCCTGTTTCTGCTTCAAACACAGTGCCCTGCTCTGCAACCTTGCAACAGAGAAAACTGAGACTTCGACATTTTCTCTTAAAAAAATATTTTCTGTAAAAAACCCCAAACAATCAAACCAACCAACCCCCTAAAAATTCCATAAAACAACCAGCAAACCAAACCAAACTCATCAGGCCTGGGATGGGAGCTGGGCAAGAAGGGAAGTCACCACTCATCACTCTCTTCTTATTATCCTGTGGCAGCCTGTGGGTGATGCCACTCAGCAGAGACATGAATGAACACTGTCCCCAACTTTGCAGCTGAAGAAGACCCTTGTAAAATAAAAGGGACTGGGGTCCCCTGTCTCCTTCAGTCACAAAAAAGCTTGTGCAGACTTTGATGGACCATCATGAAGGATGGGAGAGGGGGATGGAATGTGGGATGGATCATCGTGATCACTTTCACCCGGAATGTGATGCCACAGTAGGAATAATTTTGCTCCATCTGCAGACTCAGGTTGGGCCAAATTTTGAAAAAGGAGATGATTTGCATGCACTCTGTAAAAGAAGGGGGTGATACGGATTCCTCTGACAAAGTAGGAAAAGAACCTTCCTAGAGGCTTTCTAGGCCACACCTGCCTACAGGCCAGGGCTGGGCCTGGCAGGAACTTCCATGGCAGCTGGACTTGCAGTGCCAGGACTATCCTGAAGCATCCTAACAGACCCATCTGCTTCAGATTTGGCATGAGAGGTGTACGAGGAAAGTGCTCCATCCTTAAATCTGGGTTCCAGACAGCAGGTTTGACCAGTACCACAGAGTGTACAGATGGGCAAGGCAACCTGAATGCCACCCATGCAGAGGTGTCCCACCTCCCTTGGGGTGTCCATGTCTGAGGAGACCATCCAGGTTGTTTGGTCCGTGGATTTACACGAGCAATTCACCTGGCTGCAGGTCAGCCATGCTCCCAGCAGGACCTGAGACCCTTGGAGAACATGGAGACCAAAGGGTGTGCAACCAAAAGGGATGAGGCAGAGCAACCACAGGGGAAAGTTGAGGAGCTGGCCAGCAGGGAAGAGCGGCTCAGCAGGGAACAACTCCCACGTCCTGCATGCCCGGGGCACTTTGATGAAGCCATGCCCTGACCTGCAGACCTCCACACACCAGTGACAAGCCTTGAGGGGGCTGAAAAGCTCTGAAACCAGACTGCTGGGTCACTGCCCTGCCCAGTGAACTTTATTTGCTCTGGAAATGCCTCATGGAGTTATATAAAAATAACCTGTGGATTGGCTTGCCCCATGCCTAGGTGGTGATGTCAGGGCAGCAAGCAAATTATCTTTCATCAGTTTGGCTGTATTTTTAAACACGAATTGTATTACTAATTTGGGGGTGCTCTGGCCTGTAGATAATCTGGGTGTGTTTACGGGATGACCTTCATTCAGTGCCTATAGTTTAAAATAAAATGTATTTATACCAGGTAGCAGGGTTGACCACCCTTCTCTGCCTGGTTTGGGAGAAGAATTCATCGGGAAACCACGTGGCAAGTGGGAGGATGCCAAGGGGACCTCTAAAGAGGTCTCATACATGACAAGTTTGGGGCATAAACCTGAAGGTTCATGCATGTTCATCATGTTGGGCCTCACCATATGTGATCAGTAGGTCAGGGTGGCCTGTATTCACACATCATAGAGATGGCCCATGGCTCAGCCCATCTTCTGACATCCCCTGTTGGACCCTTTGTAAGCTTGGCTGAAGTTCCTGCCAGCAATGGAAATTCAAAACACCTTTATCTTGGGCGTCTCCACTCCTGCACCCAAATGAAAGCCCACTCCTCATCCCAGTGTAGGTGCAGGGCATGCAACACTATCCTGAGACCTCTCCAAGTCTAGGACCAAGCTAGAAGAGCCAAGAGGAACGGCCATTCCATGGGAGAGGAGGCAGACCCATCCTCTAACATTTTGGGTGGGCAGCAGAGTCAAGTGGGATGAGAAGCAGCGTTTTGCCATCGGATCTAAGCCCTCACTCCAGCCCAGACAGCTGCAGCTGAAAATTCATCCCTTGGGAGTTTGCCACACTTTTTTTAAGACGAGTTCCAAATAACTTTTCCCCAGATCTGGGCCCACCGACTCATGGCTGACTCTGTCAGCAGCAACTGAGGGCAAAAGTTTAGTGTGGGATAAAAATGAGGGTTAATTTAAGCATCGCCACCTTCTGATGGAAAAAAAAAAGACACATTTGGGCTTGTTGCTCTGTAAACACAGGGCTCTTCCTCTGGCAGCTCTGCTGTTTACTCAGTCATTGTCAAGGAGGCAGGAAATACTGAGTCAGAAATACTGCACAAAAAGAAATATATAATGCTTAGATATCCGTGCTAGGAGCTATATAAAAAGCTGAGAGAGGCTGTGCTAAATAGTTGATCTTCCTGGCAATGTACTGCAAAAGGCTGGAGCCCTAAATGGCTCTTTGGAAGGGGCCTGAGATAAATCAAGTGGGTTAGAGGAGGGAGCTGGTGGGTAGAGGTTGAGACAGTCTCCATCCTTTGCTGCTGTCCTGGAGAAGCACACCCTCCACCCGCTCCCTCCCCAGACCTTCCTAGACTCCATAAATGATATTTTGCACAGTTAACATCACTGCATTGCTCCTTGCTTACAATTTAAATTCTGCTTGTATTTAGGAGGAGGTTCTGGAGTGTAGCTTTGCCTTCTGAGGAGTATAACCCAGTGGGATGAGTAGTTTGTAGCACTGGCATTCAGAAGAAGCTCAGGAGGTGCTGGAAGAACTTGTGACAGTACAGGGAGTGATCAGACTGCTCTGCCCATGGATGGTCAGGGTCTCAACGAGCTCCTCTGTACCACTCAGAGCTTCACTGGGAATATTTCACTCCATGGACACCACAACACAAACTCCTTTGCTGGAGATGGTGGGACATGGCAGGACCATCAGCTCTTCCATGGGCTCTACTCTCCCTTCAGC